AGTTAGTTAGTTAGTTAGTTAGTTAGTTTAGTTAGTTAGTTAGTAGTATTAGTTAGTTAGTAGTTAGTTAGTTAGTTAGTTAGTTAGTTAGTTAGTTAGTTAGTTAGTTAGTTAGTTAGTTAGTAGTTAGTTAGTTAGTTAGTTAGTAGTAGTTAGTTAGTTAGTAGTTAGTTAGTTAGTAGTTAGTTAGTTAGTTAGTAGTTAGTTAGTAGTTAGTTAGTTAGTTAGTTAGTTAGTTAGTTAGTTAGGTAGTTAGTTAGTAGTAGTAGTTAGTAGTTAGTTAGTTAGTTAGTTAGTTAGTTAGTTAGTTAGTTAGTTAGTTAGTTAGTTAGTTAGTTAGTAGTAGTTAGTTAGTTAGTTAGTTAGTTAGTTAGTTAGTTAGTTAGTTAGTTAGTTAGTTAGTTAGTTAGTTAGTAGTTAGTTAGTTAGTTAGTAGTTAGTTAGTTAGTTAGTAGTAGTTAGTTAGTTAGTTCAGTTAGTATAGTTAGTTAGTTAGTTAGTTAGTTAGTTAGTTAGTTAGTTAGTTAGTTAGTTAGTTAGTTAGTTAGTTAGTTAGTTAGTTAGTTAGTTAGTTAGTTAGTAGTTAGTTAGTTAGTTAGTTAGTTAGTTAGTTAGTTAGTTAGTTAGTTAGTTAGTTAGTTAGTTAGTTAGTTAGTTAGTTAGTTAGTTAGTTAGTTAGTTAGTTAGTTAGTAGTTAGTTAGTTAGTTAGTTAGTTAGTTAGTAGTAGTTAGTTAGTTAGTTAGTTAGTTAGTTAGGTTAGTTAGTTAGTGTTAGTTAGTTAGTTAGTTAGTTAGTTAGTTAGTTAGTTAGTTAGTTAGTTAGTTAGTTAGTTAGTTAGTTAGTTAGTTAGTTAGTTAGTTAGTTAGTTAGTTAGTTAGTTAGTTAGTTAGTTAGTTAGTTAGTTAGTTAGTTAGTTAGTTAGTTAGTTAGTTAGTTAGTTAGTTTAGTTAGTTAGTAGTTAGTTAGTTAGTTAGTTAGTAGTTAGTTAGTTAGTTAGTTAGTTAGTTAGTAGTTAGTTAGTAGTTAGTTAGTTAGTAGTTAGTTAGTTAGTTAGTTAGTTAGTTAGTTAGTTAGTTAGTTAGTTCCTAGCTATTGCCTTAGGTGGTAATCGAGCACAACACCTCCGGTCTATCAGACTAGAACACTAACCACGAACCTACTTCTCTTTAAAAAGGGAAATAATCGAAAATTCGCTATAAAAGGGGGACATTTTTGAAATTCCTCCAAAGTGGGCTTGAAAGGGAGGATACATAATTCGAAGTTTTTCATTAAAAAATATTTTTCAAAAAGACAATTTTGTGCAAAAATTGTTTTTAAAGAGAGAATTATCTACATTCTTTCTGGAAATTTAATTTTTAAATCAATAAATAATCTCTTACCTCATCAACTTGTGCCTGGGTTTGTTTTGTAAACGCTTTTGTGCCGCTATTTGTTGAGGGTTTGCGTGGTCCACCAACAATCTCACCATCGCCACCCTCTCCGGGCTGGCGCACCCTCACCTGCGGGTGGTGCATCTCCGGCTGGTGCTGGATCCGCCCCTATATATTTATTATATATTGAGCAAAATTAGTATTTTGGATTAAGCAAATTCTAAAATAAAAGTGCAGTAAAAAAAGATAATAAAAAAGAAAAAACTAAAGTTTAAGAAAAAAACTAAGTTTTTTTTACAAGAAAAGTAATAAAAAATATTTATAAAATAAAATATAATAAGTATTTTAAGTATATAGTTATGTTTTTAAGTATTATATATATTCTAAATATGTTTATGTATAAGTATTTAGCAATATTATTTACTTGTTAATTAAGATTTTGATTTGAATTCATTTAGCCTTTCTAAAAAAATTATGTTTGATATTACAAAGCTTGTTTCCATATTTCTTTTAAAAAACTGAAAAATCAACTTACTCTTCCTTCTTTTTATCTTTTTTTGCCCATTTTTTAGTTTTGAATTTTTAAGAGTTAAATAAATTATGTTTTATTTATAAATAGTTCTATAAAAAAAATTAAAAAAGAATTAAAAGAAATTATTATGGCAAAATAAAAATATTTGATTAAATTTAAAATAAATACTTATAGGTCTCCCGAGGCAGGAATTTCCATAACAGAAAGAAACAAAGTTTTTACTTTAACAGTTCCCGGCAGAATTAAGTAGTTAAACAGCAGCGAAAATGTGATTTCAAAAGGAATTTTTTTCATATTTTCTTTTAAAAGGAAAATTCTCAAAAATCCTCCATAAATGGGACATTTCTGAGAATTTTCAGTCAGTTCTCTATAAAATGGGAAATTTTCAAAATATTAAAAAATTAATTTTTGAATATTCTCTAAATTAATTTTTTCTACAAAAAGTGAAATTTTTCTTAATTCTGTAAAAAATCCTTTTAAAATTCTCTAAAAAGTGGGACATTTTGGACAATTTTTTATAAAAAGGGAAATTTTCAAAAATTTTTTACAAAAAAGAAAATAAAATTTCTTTTTCTAAAAAATCCCTAAATTTTTTACAAAAGTGGAAATTCTGTATATAAAGGGAATTTTTCATTTTTTTTTTTTTTACAAAAAGGACATTTTTAAAAATTCCCTACAAAAAGTGAAACTTGTTGTTATTAGAATGGGACATTTTGGAAAATTCTTTACAAAAGGGAAAAATTTTCAATATTTTCTAAAAAAAATTCCCAAAAATTCTCTATACAAGAAGGGAAACTTTGAAAGGGGAAATTTTTCAATACTTTCTCAAAAAATATCTATAAAAAGGAAAATTTTTGATAATTCTGTTCTAATGCGGACATTTTTCAATACTTTCTATAAAAAGGGAAATTCTCAAAAATTTTCTACAAAAAGGAAAATTTTCGAAGACCCTGTATAAAAAGGAAAATTCTCATATTAAAAGAAATTTTTCTAAAAAAGAGAAATTTTTTAAAATTATTTTTAGAAAGGGAAATTTTCAAAAATTCTTTAGTAAAGGGGAAATTTTTCAATACTTTCTATAAAAAGGGGAATCCTAAAAAAAAAAATCTACAAAAAGGAAAATTTCGATAATTCTTTACTAAAGAGAAAATTTTTCTTTCTATAAAATGGGAAATTCTCAAAAATTTTCTACAAAAAGGAAAATTTTCGAAAATTCTGTATAAAAAGAAAAATTCTTGTATTAAGAGAAAATTTTCGAATTTTTTTAAAAAAGGGGAAATTTCTTCAAATCAATTTTTAGAAAGGGAAAATTTTCGAAAATTCTTTAGTAAAGGGGACATTTTTCAATACTTTCTATGAAAAGGGAAATTCTGAAAAATCTAAAAAACGAAAATTTTTGATAATTCTTTACTAAATAGGAAATTTTTCAATACTTTCTATAAAAAGGGAAATTCTCAAAAATTTTCTACAAAAAGGAAAATTTTCGAAAATTCTGTATAAAAAGAAAAATTCTTGTATTAAAAGAAAATTTTTGAAATTTTTCTAAAAAAGATAAATTTTTTCAAAATTATTTTTAGAAAGGGAAATTTTTGAAAATTCTTTACTAAAGGGGAAATTTTTCAATACTTTCTATAAAAAGGGAAATTTAAAAAAAAATTCTAAAAAGGAAAATTTTTGAAAATTCTTGATTAAAGGGGATATTTTTCAATACTTTCAATAACAAGGGAAATTCTCAAAAATTTTCTACAAAAAGGAAAATTTTCGAAAATTTTGTATTAAAATAAATTTTTTGAAATTTTTCTAAAAAATAAATTTTTTTTAATTGTTTTTAGAAGGGGAATTTTCGGAAATTCTTTACTAAAGGGGAAATTTTTTAATACTTTCTCTAAAAAGGAAAATTCTCAAAAACAATTCTAAAAAAAGGAAAATTTTCGATAATTCTTTATAAAGGGGAAATTTTTCAATACTTTTTATAAAAAGGGAAATTTTTGAAAATTCTTTACTAAAAGGGAAATTTCTAAAAAAGGAAAATTTTCGATAATTCTTTACTTTCTATAAAAAGGGAAATTCTCAAAAATTTTCTAGAAAATGGAAAATTTTCGAAAAGAAAAATTCTTGTATTAAAAGAAAATTTTCGAAATTTTTCTAAAAATGAGAAATTTTTTAAATTATTTTTAGAAAGGGAAATTTTCGAAAATTCTTTATAAAAGGGGAAAATTTTCAAAACTCTTTACAAAATGGGACATTTTTCAAAATCCTCAATAAAAAGTCTGATTTTCAAAATTCCCTGTAAAAAGGGACATTTTTAAAAATTCCCTATTAAAGGGAAATTTTTAAGAAAAAGAGAAATTAAAAAAAATATATATACAAAGGGAAATTAAAATACAATTGCTGTAAAAAGGGAATTTTCGAAAATTCTGCATAAAAAGGAAAATTTAAGAAAATTCTCTAAAAAAGAGAAATTTTTGAAAATTATTTTTAGAAAAGGAAAATTTTTGAAAATTTTCTATAAAATGGAAAATTTTTGAAAATTCTCTATACCAAAGAGAAATTTAAGAAACTTCTCTTGAAAGGAGAAATTTTTTAAAAAATATTTTTAGAAAAGGGAATTTTCCGAAAGTGTTCTATAAAATGGGAAATTTTTTGAAAATTCTTTACAAAAAATTTTGGAAAATTCTCTATAAAAAGAGAAAATTGAAGATAATTTTCGTAAAACCTTGAATCCTTGACAGCAACTTAAAAACAAAAGGCGGTGGATATTAATAGGGCTGTGACTTTAAGTCGAAGGCTCTCGAAACACACATAACGGCTTCAAAAGAAATTTCGATTTAATTTTAAAAAATAGTTTAAAATTAAAATAAAGTTTAAAAATAAAAAAAGTATATCATGCAAAATATTATAAAATAAATGTTATTATATTATTTATTGGCCTATTCCCGGCAGGTTTGCAGAATTTACTCCGAATATTTTAAAGAATTTATAAAAAAAACCTGCAAATCTGTCAAATGCGGGAACAGAACTTTTAATATTACCCCTTTTGGGGGTTAATACAAACGAAATCTAACTATTTAAGGCATTAGATTAAAATGTATATATATATTTTTCGTAACATCCGATTTGTTATTTGCGAAATTAAAAATTATAGCTGATATTTTTCATATATCTAAACAGGCAAATACTTCAAAAAATATAATGATTTCGGGTCTAATATTTGTATATTTCAACTATTAGTTATTTTAGTTTTAAGAATATTATGATAAAAACTTTAGGTTTAAGTTTGTAATATCATTGATACTTCATAACTTTGATACTCACTGAGGCTCACTTTCCTTTCCTTCTTTGGCTTCACCTTCCATTTTCTGTACTATAGGTTATTAGGTGCGTTAGAAGATCAGAAGGCTACTTTTAACCCAAAAATTCTTTTGTTAATTTTTATGGCAAAATGTATTTTTTTTAAGGAAATTTGATATATAACACTTTTAGCAAAGTGTTAATTGCAGTAAATGGAATATATTTTGAAATAACTTTTAATTTAATGAAATCGATTAAAATTTATTTGAAAATTTTGAATTTCGAGAATCGTTTGAGTTAATTTATTTAAAATATAATTATGTTGAAAAGGTTTTAGAAGATTGGTTTCTTTTCAAATCCTAAAATTTTGAATTTAAATATGTTTATGCTAATTTCATTATAAAATATAATTTTGACAGATTGAAATAGTTTAATTCAAAAATATGAAATTTTTTGTAGACACAATATTTTATTTTGTAACTCGTTTCGAAAGTAAATTGATTTGAAATTGAATGTATGCGTTGATCGAAATACTTAAATAACGACTATACGAATACAGGTATATAAAACCTTTCATAGCAACAACCACTCCCAATGGACCTTAAATTTTCAATTCTATATAAAACCGATATATGTAAATTTCATTATTAAAATCTGAAGCCAATCTTTATAAAAATCAATACCTTTTTATTCGTAAAATTTTTTAAATCCTGTAAAATCATTTCTATACCCACCATCAAAAAAATTTGTAAAATATTGGACTTAGTAGTCATGTTCGTTTGTTGTTGCAGTAATAGTTTTAAAATATTGTACAGGTTAGTCTATAATTGACCCTAACCAACCATATATGAGCGCCTTCAAAAAACTTCTTCAATAATCAGGGGGATTTGTATTGACAAAAAGGTTACTATGAAACTACTACAGATAGTTTTACGCATAAGTTACTTGTTGGTTTAATTAGCGCCATCAGAGCCATCAGACGATCGTCAACCAAGGCTCTGGAAAAGTATTCCCCCAATAGAAACATATATACTGCCCAACGTCACTTATTTTTAGTTTAAGGGACACTTCATCAAAGTATACTGGGTACATTGGAGGGGAAAACATGGTATGTGCCCTATCGTCTACGAGAGACAGAGTCTGTCGGGAACTTTAAAAGCACTAAACCCAGATAAAATAGTAGAGTCAAGCGAGACATTAGAGCAAATATCTATAGAAATGCGTTGCTACATGGATAGCTAAAAACAGAATGGACAAAACGGTCATGGGGATCTACATTGAAGACCCAGAAACCGAAATAAACCAATGGTTACCTAATAAAGGGGAGGGAACTCGAGAAACTGGCGCAACGAGGACAGAATTAAAAACATGAGCTAGGATAGGCGTAAGTAGGATCATCAAACAAGGCTCTGAAAGGCGTACCTGTATAAAACTCAATACACAAATCGGGTCTGGGGATCTACCCGAAATAAAACAACGGCTACAACATCAGCTTTCAGACAGATGTCCGTTCAATAACAGAATGTGTTAACTCGATTGAAACATGCAGAAGGCAATATCAGGCAATCAGGGTAAATCAATGTAGTGTATCCACTTATCCGATGAATATTCTTCCAGAGGTATGCTTTGCACTATATGTGTGTCAATCCACTTGGAAATAATGGACAACAAAAGAACGAGAATGTGTACCGGCGCAACGAGGAAAAAAATTAAAATCATGAGCGAGAGAATCCCATGCGGCCACTTCAAAATGAAACGATGGATAGGATAGGTTACTGTGGTAGCTGTACGGTATAAG